AAGTTCTGACAGAAATCCCTGTCAAAAACTTGGAAGGTAATTGTTAAAGTAATGTTGAGAAGCGGGGGAAATTGTGCTGCTGGAATGAGGGGCACAGTGGTCCAATGTTATTCCAATTTGATTATGTGCAAGCTAATCTTTGGCACTTTCCGAGGTATTTCTGTTTTAGGACTGACATGCACAGAAGCAAATTTCATACAGAAAAGTGGCTTTCAGCGAGCTGCCGCAAAATACAAAATGGTAGTCGTAAATGCAGATACCAGTCCAAGAGGCGTTGATATTCCTGGTGACTCCGACAGCTGGGATTTTGGCAAAGGTTTCTGAACTGTTTGTAAAAATAACGATTTTTACTACTATATTGAAAATAACAATATTTGTGATAGCAATAGTAATGCTGAAAGTAATGTCTATTAATAGTAATAATAATGATGATAATAATGTTAATAAATAAAGCACTAGTAGCAATTACCATAATAACTGAGTCAATTAAATGAAAAAATGACTGCCTTCTTTTCGAATTTTACTGCCGTAAGTGAGTTTTTTTCGGCAATTCACATTTTTCACTCCTTCCAGAATTGACTTGAATATTTTGGGCTTGAACACAATTGGCTTTACAAAACGGGTTTCGATTTGGCAAGCTTCAAGCCAGTTCTTGTGCTCCATTATGAATTTTTTTTTTTTGCTTACTTAATTAAAATAAGCAGAAAAAAAACCCCTTTTTCGATTTCCTTTTTTCTGCTCTTAGAACAAAGTATTTTGCTATCGGAAGTGTATGGGGTCAAAAAATTACTGCATTCTCTGCAGACAAAGGTCGTTTTGCTGAAAACATTCGGACAATTGATATGAAAATCATCTGCAATTAGTGCTGTTGGGAAATGTCCACACGTCAGGTGTTAGGAACTGCTGGAGTAAAGAGTAGCATTTTATAAAATTTGAGAAATAAATAATTTTTCGCCTTTTTTTGTGGAGAAAATTTTGATTTTTGGAAATAATTCACTTCAGTCGCTGATATTACGTTTGAACTGAAGATATTGCTTTCACTGCAGTTGTTTTTGTTACAGGCGCTGGCTTTTACGTAGATGCAACCGAGCCAAAATGGTCCGAACATTACAGAATGTATACTTATATCAGTGAGGAGCTTCCACGTATTGTAAATTTCAATTTTGACAAGTGCGATCCAACTCGTTGGTGTATAATGGGGCACAGTATGGGTGGACATGGTGCTATTGTGATTGGACTTAGAAATCCGGAAAAATTCAGGAGCATATCCGCATTTGCGCCTATTTGTAACCCCATAAATTGTGCCTGGGGTAAAAAGGTTCGTTTTGAAGATGATTTACCTTCTAGGATATGTAATTGGCACTGAGCTTAATTTGTTCGTAGTTCTTTGCAGAAATTTTTTTTTTGATGAAAAGAAGAAATTACTGGAGCCAAGCACATATTTTTATATCTCTCTATATGAATGACTAGTTACTTCCTCATACACATCCAATTTTTAAAAAAAAAGTAACATTTAGCTTTTGGGGCAGAAAATGAAGGCCAGCTTTCAGCCTTTGCTGACTGTCCCAAGTACTTTGTTGAGATTCAAAAACAGATTTACTCGAGTCAAATTCTCGGAGTTTCTATTATTTTAAAGGAAAGCTCCTTACTGAGGCAGTGTATTGGTGGCATGAATTGAGACTGAATAGGAAGTGGGTCTCGAGCAAAATAGT